ATATATATATATATATATATACTCATAGCGATAATAATTTAGATACAGACGAATATAGAAAGATCGTGGTAAAGCCAAACGGCTGCAATACAACCTGAATCAGCCGGCATATCCTCGTGAGATTCACCTACAACTCTCTTCATCATGTACTTTCATACGAAACTTGTTCACAACAAGTTTCTCTCAGCAGACCCTTCGAAACCGGCATTTTCGTCGTAGCTACTAGCATATCTCCACCATAACCGGATTGAGAGTGTTTCTGGAAATGAGACAGCTCGAGTGTTGCAATCAAGTCGAGCGGCAACAACAACGACAGCAGCACCGCCACCAACAACATGTCATTTGGAATCCAGCCTTGTCAGTTGGCCTGACCGACCTACGCGCAACTCTGCGCCAGACAGGCTTTCACACGACACCAAATTCAGCTCAACTAGAGGCCGAAGAGAATAGAAAAAATAGTCAAAAATTCAACCAAATCTCGCCTCATCTGTGAGTAGACGATCGCTCACTCGATCGATCGAGAAAAATTAGAATAAAACCGGCAAAAAGGGGCTGGCTTAGAAAAGGGTATATCGATCGCTTGCCACGGAAAGGGCAACGCAACTCTGCTGCAGCATGAGTCATCGAGCAGCTTGAGGCGCGCGATGCGAGGCTTGGTCTGGGCCAGTCGTGGACAGAGTCAGCCAGCGCCACTCGATTCAGCGACGCAGGCGACTTCGAAAGGCTCCGCAAAGCCCGAACGAGAGGCAGAATCGCAATTGGCCGAGCAAGGTCTGAGCGTAGAATGGGCCAGAATGAAGCGAGTAGAAGGTCTCAAGCTGCATCGAAATTCATTCTATCTTCTGCCCCAAAAGACTTTCCCTTTTTGTCTCGACTGAAGCCTCAAACTTGGCAGAGTCGCACAAACACGCAAGAAGCGACTCGAACCCGACTTCCAAGGCAAGATGTTCCAACAGTTTCTGAAGGTGTTCATTTGGTTTACAGCAATTTTGTCGATTTACACAAAAATATCGCCGGTCCGCTGTAGATGCTGCCAACTGGGAGATAATTGTCTCGACTTATGGGCCACAGGCAACTGTGATTGTGGCATAATCGCAACACTTCCGCCTCACGTGCATGAACCTGCCGCAAATCTCGCTAAGCTTGCTGATTAGATTTCATATGGATTGAACTTTTATTTCATTTTTGACAAATGAAATTATCAATTCTTGCTTCCCTTCAAGCATTCACGCTGAGTTCGAGTTTAGGCTCTATTAGTACCCTTCCGTCATGGAGGTGTTCTCACGGCAACTGACTCAGATTGATCCCACCCAGAGAATGACAAGTTCACTAAAACTGTTTGCCCCAAATGCTTAAATGTGCGTGCATGTGGGCATACAGTTTTGTTCAGCTCTTCTCATTTCGAGTGATGGTGTGTGACGAAGCGATTCGAGGGTTGATCCTACTCAACGACCGTACTGGAACGCTCAATCTGACACAATCCTCCCCCACGTCCGGTGAAAATGTGATAAATTGTTGTCTATCCTGTGAATAGCATCCTCAGAGCAGACAATCTTTCGCGAAGACACACGAAGATGAAATGTCGAAAAAACTCGCTGTCTCATCCAAATGTATTGTATGCACTTTCTATGCATCTCGGGAGGCGTAGAGTGAATTGCTTAGTTGACGTCATAGGCCGAACTAGAAGCATGCGAGTATGTATGCTCAATGTATGTCCATTGTTACGTAACTGTATGCACATACGTACACAGTTTCTGAAAGTATTCATTCAGTCTGATAGTAGACTTTACAGAAAACAAAATGGGCAGAGGTTGTCGACTTGAGTAGATTGTGAGACTGCTATTTGGGGAGTTTTATCACAATAACCCAACTAAACGTAAATACAACACGAATTTTTCCTTAGTCTTACCTTCAAAAGAGTTTCCTCATCCAACCTAGACTGGATTGCAATTTTGTTTTCGTCTCAGCTCATCTTCCTTCCCGACGGGATTCGAACCCGGAACGTCAGCATCATGTCAACAATGCTATTTTTGATGAGGCAAACATGC